CGTCGAAGAGGCCGGGGTCGAGGGACTTGCGCTGCTTCCCGCGGGCAAACACCCTGGAGATGGAGCCAAAGCCCATCTTCTCTTTCTTTTTTTTCCGTTTTTGGTCTTCCAGGTCTTCTAGAGACTGCGGGGAGAGAGGAGGCGGGTTTGGCCATCGGGCTTCGCGTTCGCCACCCCCCTCAACGCGTCAGCGATGACGGACCGCAGGGTCCAGGTCCCAGGAATAACATTCGGGTCCAGGTCCAAAGCAACGATAATGTCCTGGACCGAAAAAAAATCCCCAGGCCTGAAATATCTGCGGTGGATTTTGCTGTGAAATCGGGTCCCTTCCGCTCATTTCTGGGAGTTTGGGATGCTGCATTCAAGCAGCTCGAGATTTCGGCTCTGGGTAGGGAAGGATGGTCAGGGCAAGGGTCTATTGCAAAAATACTCCACTGTTTCAGGGTCAAATACAGGTGAATAATCTGATCTAGGCTCTGCCCTGAAAAAAACAAGACTGTGATGGGTGCCCAGCACAGCAACCACCTACGGCCTGACCTGGATTTTGGGGCAAATCATGGAAATCTGAGACATCCCCGAGCTACGATTCAGGATGGCTTCTGCTATTTTTTTTTTTTTAAATACACCAAAACTACCCCAAACCAGTGCCTTTTAATCCCCATCAAATCACCCACCAGCTCACGAGCGGGATTTCACCGGGGTTTGGTGCCCTACCTGGACGATTGGGTTGTGCAAGTTCTTCTGTACCGGTCCAGGACTGTCTCCCTGCGGCAGAAGGAGACGGATTCAATGGAATCGGCCCCAACGCAGCCCGGGAACCCCCAACCCACCCCCCTAGAAAAAAGCAAAAAACCAGGTGGCCACATCGCTACGAGGCTGGGATGAACCCCAGGAGAGCACCCTCCAAGGGCAGCAAACCTCCAACCCCTTCCCCACCCCAAAACCAACATCGTTTTTGGAAGCGGACGACCTGCAGCATCCCCGGAGTTGGTCTCCCCACTCCCCACGGGAGGACCCACGCAGCGGGGACACAACCCGCCCCCCTCACCCAGCGCCTTACGTTGCAGAGCGAGTGCGTTCGATGCCGGGGCGAGTTGATGTCGCTCGGCGTGGACGACCGGTCGCCCTCGGCCGCGGAGGCGTCGGAGATGATGGACGGCTGCCGGGAATGACAGGGACTCACTCTGACGGCTGGAAGGCAGGATGGGGTGGGGGGGCACCGGGGTTAATTTAATTAATTCAACGCCAGCAAACCTGACCCCACGCAAAGCCTCTAACGCGCTTCCAAAAAAACTATTTTTGGGGTGTTTGGCTTGTTTTTTTGAACTCTAGGGAGAATAAGGTAGCTGCCCAAAACAGCTTTGTCCCCACACCCTGATCCACGCGGGATGGGGATGGAGGGGCTCACCTTGGCGGT